GGACATTTGGGAGTGCACTATGGCCTCGTGCAGCATTACCGCAGCGTGACCCCCAGCTGGAATTTCACCTGGACTTCCCAGGGCTCAGACTACAACCCTTTCTGTTCACAGAGTGGTCAGGATCCAGCTGAGTACTAGTGGCTAATGCAGGGGCTGAGCTCCCCACTAACCCCGTTCTCTCTTCCCTCCATTTCTGCAGCTTGGGATAAGGCACAGCAACCGCAGATACAAATATTTACAAGCCGCAGAGATGTTACTATAAGCTGGCTGGAAAGAGCGGTTCGCAGCAGAAACGGTGAGACAGCTCCAAGCGTAGCTGCCTGCCAGGGCACCAGCTATAATAAAGGAGCAATCTCGGCAGACTTTGAACTTCTCCCGTGGTGAAAGAACAGGGAATGTTAAGAAATAAAACAAAGAGTTTCAGCTGATGAGAGCCTCACAGGCAGCCAGGCCAGCAACCCAACCCAGCGAGACATTGCAGAGCACCAGGTCCAGCAAGCCCTGGGCGAGGGGATGGGGCTACTTACGGCATGGGACAGCTGACGGCCATGGGCTGAAACCCACGAAGGCTCCCCCAGGCACGGAAAACGCAACTTGTGTGAGCAGAGTGATTCAGACCAACATCCCTCGCTGGAATACCTTGGAGAGGCTCCTCTGTGTGACCAGCTCCTTGTCCCCCAGAGAACAGGCACCAAATCTCACAGAAATAAACGTGTGTCAGCAGGCCGAGGGGGCCAGGGACCAGCCCTGGGCAGGCAGTCACCGGTCTTTGCAAGGGCAACCCTGCCGCTCGTGCAGCTCACCCCTGGGGACATTTCCCCACATCTCACCTCATCCCCTCCTGCATGTCCCTGAGCTGACACCTTTGGGCTGTCCTCGGGGGTCCCCACACAAGGGGTAGGGTGCAGGGTCACCCCACGTAAGAAAGTTGTGGAGAAACCCCTCCTGGGGCAAAGCTGTCAGCAGCACCTCTGCCTGGGGTTCGCTGTGCCAGCCCAGATGGCTCCCACCCCACCGGGGAGGCAGGTCCCCCTCCCCGCCCCCACACCCTTTCAGCCACAAAATAAAAGGTTATAAAAAACCAACCAAAGTTCATTACATCCCCTAATGTGTCATTTGCATAGGAATGAGCTGGGAGCAATGAGGCAGCTTTCTCCTGTTGAGGAAGGATTCAGGAGGGGGAAGGGGAAGAGGCAGGCATTGGGACCAGGCAATGGCGTGTGGGATTCAGCCCCACAGCAAGATGGGGCAGGCACGGAGGTGAAGGAGACAGCAGAGCTGGATATGGTTATGGCAGAGCCAGAGGGAGCATCCCAGCAAAGCCCACAGCAACGGGACCTCTGGCTCAGAGGGAAAGTGATGGTGGTTTCACCCCAGCACCTCCACCACACAGCCCACGGTGCCCGAGGTCGTTGCGACCTGGATGTGCCCATCCCCGGCAGGCGTGGAGGGTCCAGGACACAGCTGAAACCAAAGTGACCAGCAGCTCAGGGAAGATTAAATAAAAGCCTGAGCCGGAAGATGGCAAGGGCAGCAGAACAGTGGAAGTTCAGATACGGGCCCCAAGGAGGGGCAGGCAGCTCTGCCGTCTCATCACAGGGAGTCACTGCCCGCATGTGAAACAGCCCCTTGAGTCTTTTAGTTGACTGGGCTGAACCATGAGGGCATGAGGTCTGGAGACGGGACACAACCCTAAAGGCATAATTTCTGGTTTTTGCACTGTACTTTTACTTTTGATGGAAAACTGGAAGCAATCTGACATTTCAGCTGTGCAAAGCTTCACTAACTGAAAGGCTACTAAAGCCCCAGTCCCCCAGGCCCAAACCCACCAAAATACTGTATCTACTGTCTGTAGTAGAGGTTCTGCCATGAGGACATCAGCCAGCCAGAGGGATGGGGCAAGCATAACAGATGGCTGCTGGATCACCTCCTGCTCCGTGAGGTCCGCTTTGTAAAAGCCTCCAAGGCCAACGGGGCCAGCTGAGACCAGAGGACAGACAGCAAGACACTCTGCCCAGATTAAGCCCTCCTGGCCTGCAAAGGCCACCATGAGGTGACCAAGAGGTTCACCCCTGGGACATTACCGGGTGTCCTACACCCAGCAACGATGCTGTTTGCCTGCCCTGGTCCACCTCCCAGCTTGCCAGGCACCTCCAGCTGCAGCCTTGGTGGTAGTGGCAGAGTGGGGCCATGAGACCAGCAGCTCCAGCACTGGGCTCTGGTCACATATTTTCTCACCAAAGAAGCAGCAGAGCAGTTGAAGCAAGGTGACTCCAGGCACGCCCGCAGTGGGAAGACCAGGAGCCAGAGCTCCCAGATGGTTACGTGCCCATCCCAAACAGGCAAAACAAAGCACACACTAAAGCACTCACAGGATTGGCGCCTCGTGTCCCCCCCGCGTTTGGAGCTACCTGGCACTTGTGGCAAAGCAGCCCAGCTGAAGCCGATGGCGAGTGGACCCCGGCGTCCTCAGGGAGGCAGGTAGCCACACAGAAGCAGAGCTTCATTCGGTGGGAGAACGATCGCAGGAAGGGTCTCCGCAGCACTGGTGTAAGGGCAAGCGAGCCTGGCCGGATGGCTCTTAGGGGCTGGAAACAAAGCCCCTCTCAGATGGACACTTCTGCGTTTATCAATAAATACTGTCTTCCAGCCTAATCGTTTCTAATCCCATCTGCAATCTCATTATTGAAACCTTCTCAACTCAACAGCTGTAAATGCTGCCCCAGCCAGGCGACCCCAGCGATAGTGCCAGGCTGCATTTCCAGGGAGCAAATCACACCCCGAAGCCCTAAGCTCTTTTCTTTAAGAAACATGTGAATGCTCTTACTGTGGCACGAAGGCGGGGGGGGGAACCCAAGAAATATCAAGGACTCATTTGTTATTATGCCACTGCGCAATGAAGCGAGCCATTGTTCCCTACCTGGGGTAACAACGCCTTTCAGAAAACACGAGTGCTTTTCCCAATGTGTTCTTTACAAAACGTCAAGACCAAAGCTGCTGGAGGATCGGTGAACAGCTGGAAAAAAAAAATAAAATAAAACAGCTAACAGATTATCCAGAGGGTTTTCACACTTGATCTGTAAACGCTCTTTTATTTAATAAAAATAATCATCCATTATAGCAACTTCTGCTTGTGGTTGTTGGTTTTTTACAGTAAAGCACAGTTTATTTGCTTTCCTCACCTCTCGAGGATTCAATTCTGAAAATGCAAGTGAATGTAAACATTGCTCTCCAGGTCCCGAGATGCATCCGGGGACCCTTGGAGTTAATTACAAAATCAAGAGAGAGAGCAAAATCAACAAAACACTTCCCAAAAGTAAAAAGGTATTTTTTTAAAGTCTCTTCCTATGTACCATATGACTCCAGAGAACACAAATTCATCTTATACACAAGACTTACACAAACTTTGCTTTCTCCAAACAATTTCTATGACTTGCCAGTATTTGATAAAGCTGCTTTCATAACATTAACAGGCTTACAGACTCATTTATTGTGATGGATCAAAAGTTTTTCCTTTTAATATTCTCCAGAAACTTCTTCATGGCACAAGGATGTTAGATTTGTTCTGTCTTTTATTTTTTTTTTTTAGCAGAAAGAGCTGAAAGACATTTCAGGAAAGGAGTGTAAAAGCAGTATTAACTCTCTCTCCTGCTCCAATCTCACAATATGTACACATTTCTTTTTTTTTCTTTTTTTTTTTTTTTTTAAAAGCTTAATTACACTATAAAATACTGGAGAAACTGTCAGTTAAGTTTCCCATTTTGGAGTTTTGCCCTGTATAAGACTGAAAGAGGGATGCTTTCATATTTCCTAGGAAAGATGAGATTGGCAGATTAAAAACTGAACTCTTCTCCCTTAATTCAGAAAGGTGGAACAGCCTCTGCACACAAACCCCCTCCTCTTCTGCAGGAAATCCCGCAGGAGTTAAACCATCACAAATCAATATAAATGAGATAACATAATATACAGAGCCCTGCTATTTGCTTTGAAAAGTTATCTATTTACAGTTGGAGGCGGGGGAAGCGAGTTAGCATCGAACACATTTTGGTGCTGCAGTGTGGTATAAAATCAACTGAGATTAACTCATGGGGAGCTTGGCCAGGTCGCAAGCCTGATGTCGCACGGGAAATAGCCTGTCACTCCATCGCCCGGGACGTCCCTGCCTGCACAGCAAAGCCACCGCTCCGCCAGGGTCTGCTTTAATGAATAACGAGAGGGCAGTTACCATCTCGGCTGTATTATATCACAGGCAACACAGAAATCAAACAGAATCAGGTACAACATAAAAAGTAACACCAAAATTAGCCAGTCTGGTGAGGTCTGTGATCCTAAGATTCATAGTCAAAAAAAAAAGACCTGACATTGGAAGTGTTGGTTATATTATCAAACTGTCAGGTAGGGGGAATGGCTTTAGTCGTTCAGCGGTTTTGAGTGAGGGGAGGTTCAGGGGTGGGAAGAGAGGGACTTTTAAGGTGTCAAAGATAATTAAAGCATTCACAGTTTCAAAGCTGCTTGCCTTACAAAAGTTAAGACATTCAGATTCAGGGATACAATACTGTATTTTACAAGGGGGTTAAAATTAATTATATACACAACAGGAAAAAAAGACACAACAAAATAAAAAAGCCAACACCTCTGGGGTGGCATACTCCCTCTTTGTTGTTCATCTCACGGAGCTGCACGTCTTTTAGAGTCAAACTGAGCAGTCGTGAAAATATCCACTGAGAGATTCTGGCAAAAGAAAAAAAAAAAGCTAACAAAATAAACCAAGCAAGTCAGAAGCCATCCTCCCCTGGAAAGCCGAATGCCACGGCTCGGACTTCCACTTGCCTGCTGCTCCTTGCTGCTGCTGCCTGGCGTTTCCACAGGCTCATCTTGGGTTTTAAAGGCTTCCTGCTCGCAAGCTAAAGGAAACCATCCCATACAAGCACAGCCCAAGAGAGCCATGCCTTACTCTCCTACAAAGTCTTGAATTAGTCCTGCCCGTAGCAAAGAGTCCTTCAAACAATCCTTTTCCTCTCTATCCTGCAGAGGATCCTTTTGAAGGCCCGTCTGAAGTCGTGGTTGAAAATGGTATAGATGACGGGGTTCAAGGAGCTATTGCAGTAACCGAACCAGAAGAAGAATTTGAAGAGGGTGTCGGGCACAGAGCAGCTCTTGCAGACAGCCATCAGCGTGTAGGTGAAGAAGAAGGGGAACCAGCAGATGACAAAGACCCCGATCACCACTGCCAGCACAAAGGTGAAGCGCTTCTCCCGGTTCTGCCTGCCCCTCCACCGGGACCCTTTGGTGTTCCTTTCCTCCTCCACCTTCCTGGGCAAACTGTCCCCAGGCTTAATCTGGCTGAGCTTAGTCTTGGTCTTTCCCCTTGACGGTCTCTCAGACTTCTTACACTGGGTGTTCTCCTGATGCTCAGAGGAAGAGGTTTCCTCCATGTCTATGCCGTTGACCTCTCCCTCCTGCCCACCACCGCCTCCTGCCGCCTTCTCCCCATTGAGCTGGGCTGTGGCTGGCAGGGCCTCCTGTGGTCGGCGTTGCCCTCTTTGCCGCCAAAGCCGTTCTGCCTCTTCTCAGGGCGCTCTGCCCGCTTGTTCAGCGGTACCCTGGTTCGCCTCTTGGCTATCTGGTAGATGCGCATGTAGACCAGGATCATGATGAGGCAGGGGGCAAAGAAGGAGCCGATGCTAGAAGAGATGATGTACCACTTCTCATCGTTGATCTTGCATCCTGCCACCCCCTGGTCAGCCTGCTGCCCGCTCTTCTTCTCGATGGAGATGAGCGGTGGGAAGGAGATGACGGCTGAGATGACCCAGACGATGAAGATGATGCACTTGATGCGGCGTGGGGTACGCTTCAGGTTATACTCAATGGCTTGCGTGATGGACCAGTAACGGTCCAGGCTGATGGCACACAAGTGCACGATGGAGGAGGTGCAGAACAGCACATCCAAGGCCAGGTAGATCTCACACCAGACTTTGCCGAAGTACCAGTACCCCATCACCTCATTTGCCAGGGAGAAGGGGATGACCAGCGTGGCCACCAGGATGTCAGCCGAGGCTAAGGAGACCAGGAAGAGGTTCTGGGGGGCCTTCAGTGCCCGACTGGTGAAGACAGCGATGATGACCAGGACGTTGCCGAAGACGGTGAAGAGCATGAGCAAGCCCGCCAGGCTGATGAGGGTGACGGTGGTGTGCAGCGGGTACGGCGTGCCCCAGCCCTGCCCGGCACCGCTGTCGTTGAAGGTGCCGTTGGCGCCGGGAAGCGGGTAGCCCTCCTCCTCCTCCAGCTGCTGCTGGTACTCCATGGAGGAGAAGAAGTGGCCCCTCTCCGTGAACGGGCGCTCCAGATTAAACATCAACCCCGGCTGCGTGGAC